TAGAGGTGTCTCTCTCATATATATATTTATTTATTTATTTACTTATTTACTTCTTTATGTTTATCTTGCGTACTTACAAGGGATAACGGGAAGGTCGGAGAATTTCTGCCGTCTTCACTCTGGCTCCGGCTTCCGAGCCCAAACCAAGTACCAGTTGCCTCAGGTGTTGTTTCTAGTTTTTGAAAACCTGGGGTTCAGGCTTGACGGTTTAGGTTCAAGGGCTCAGGCTTGTCATTGGGCAGAGTTTGGGGTTCAGGGTTTTAGTTTTTGAGTTCAGCGTTTTAGGGTTTGGGGTTTTTTGGTGCGCGTGGCCTATCTGCGGCCAAAGGTGACAGAAGCTGATCGACAGGTCAATGTGTGCTCAGAACGTCACAGCTTTACGCAAGGCACTGATTCGTAAACTCCTTTTTCTGTAGGGGCCCGATGTTGGGGTCCCTACCTTCATAAGAAGAGCGAGTATATTCATCAGTCGTTTACTTTAACACGAAGGGTCCCTGCAAATAACCAGTACATTAGGATCGGCCTTCAAGGGGCTCCTGTGTAGCGATGTCAGGGCCTAGGTCTATGCCGAAAAAGTACATGGATCTTGGGGGTCTACAATGAGTGAGCGGGCAACCAATAAAGCTGGACAACCACCGAATACTCGGAGAGATTTTACGAATGATATGACTTTAAGAAGGAGCCATGAAAGAAGCAATCTTGGTATTTGTTTAGGCGCCTAAGTCTCCCATCTGCCAGCAAGCTGCCCATCCCGCGCGTCTGGATCTGCTTCACCTAACAACTCTGCAACCGCATCGGTCACACATGCAGATGTGCAGGAACTATGCAAAAATCCATTCAAGGGTTTGTCCCCCTACCTTGCGCCCAGCATATGATGGCCGTAGGGTAATCCCAAATCTCACATAGAAGCAACAGGTAAGGTCTTTGTAGCCACAAACCGGACAAAGGAGGCCTGACATCAAAAAACGAACTTTCAACAAACCTTTACAGCTCTCTTAAATGAGCTCATTAAACCCTAAAAAGCTAAACTCCTAAACCAGCAAGGAGCTCGCGGGTTTTGTTTTGCTTGCGAACACCTCTGCAATCCCTCGACGCACACTCACACAGGCAAACATGTTACGCCGCTAAAAGGCGTTAGCTGACTCCGAAACCGAAAGCATAGCCAATGCAGCCGCACTCAAGCCTGAAAGTTGTAACCCAGCAACAGCGCACATTCCCCAATCCCAAAGCCTGCATGAATGGAGATAGCCCCATATCCCAAACCCTCCTCCAAGTCGGTACGGCTTTGCATCAGAGCATTCACATCCGTGTCATCGCGATATCCAAACCTGTGTGCAATTTAGGGGATTCCGAAGCTACGTTTCGGGTGTTAGAGTTTAGGGTTTCGGGTTCGAAGGCTCGAAGGCTCTGGGTGTTCTGTCAATTGAGGTTTAGGGTTTAGGGTTTAGGGTTTAGGGTTTGAGGTGCTGGAGTCCTTTGTTCAACCCGGGACAATGGCATAGCCAAGAGACGATTACAGCTTTCCGAACTGAGTCGAAGGAGAACAAGGATAAGCCAGTTTAAGACTGGTTTGGCATCCTAGAGATCCTTCAGCCGAGATGCCTCACACAGTATGAAAAAAGCAACCCTGGCAACCAAGCGAAACTTGCAGAACACAGCCTGCAACCTGCAGAACCTTTCGCTCTTGCAAGATGTTGAGAAACCCTGGAAATCACAATAGCCAGTGTCCTTAGTCAACATGTTCTGGAAGGTCGAGGAGTCTAGGCACGCCTCGATCCTTATGCGAATCGCAATACAAAAGACGTGGAATGAGGCAAGACAAAGACTTAGCCTTGAACGAGATCTCCATTGGTTAAACCCGATCGCAACATGGTTGCAACCGTCATCTTATGAACCTCAGAAGAATCTGAAAAGGACTCTACGTAATGGATACGAATTCTCTGCCTCAGACATCGAAATCTGAAATTCAGAACAATAAGAGCAGGCATATATATATATATATACTTATTTATTTATTTGTGTTTCATTATACCATTAAGGGCTATTACTCAGACATCGATAGGACTCAGACTCCTGTTCCCTTACGCCAGTGCTCTGAAGAGGGACTCCCACTCGTGCGTGGGGCTCGGAACCAGCGCCAGCTGCTCCTGTGCCCATCGGACCTCTGTGCTGCAGGGGTTTAGGGTTTAGGGTTTAGGGGTTTAGGGTTTAGGGTATAGGGTAGGGCTTGGGGCTTAATGTAGGGGCCTTGATAGTTAGAATAGGGTTCCGGGTCCCATTATAGTATATTTATAGTAATAAGAAACCCGAACAATCATGTTGTAGTTAATATTCAGGCTTCTGTATTAGAGCTTAGGGTTGAGGGCAGGTTTCAGGGTTTGGGGCTCAAGGCCTACCTGAGCCCCAAATGACCTACCCTTTTTCTGAATCCTCATTACCATTTCATTCGAAAAAATGGAGAAAGGTAGGGTTTTTCTGACCCAGAGGAAGGGCTTCGGGGAGGTCTCTGAGTTGGGGGTTTTAGGCTTAGCTTTCGGACCAGGGAGCTCCAAGGAAATAGCACACGGCTTTAGCTTTTCGGGGCTTGGGATTCAGGTTTAGGGGTTTAGGGCTTTAGGCCTCGGGTAAAGATCTACGACTTACGGCGCTGGTGAGTGTTGGGCTGAAGGGTTTTAAGGCTTACGACTTTACCATGGGTTTACGATCACTTGGGGGCTGGGGTCACGTCACAAAACTGTAACCTTTCCGTGACCAACCTCCGCCTGATAGTATAGGGGCTCAAAAATTAGGAATAGGGTTTTGGGGTCCATTATACAATACGTATAATAAAGAGCCCCTCAAAAAACATAGGTAATTAATATGGCCCCTACATTAAGCTTTAAACCCTGGGAAAAGACCCTGTAAAGGCCTTTCTCGGACCCACTGGGGCCTAAGCAGTCTCTTGGACGGACGAAAGCAGGCGTTTTAGAAGGCTGATCCCCAAAAAACCCTACACCCTCACCCCGAAACTTCTGAAACCCTAAACCATCCTAAACCCCCAAGCCCTAACCTCGAAACTCCAACCTGGAACCTGAACTGCTAAGTAAACTACGGGATGCCTCAACCCAAGCGATGCTGGTTCCCTTCACCCTGGATCCAGGGACTCGAACAGGAAACGAGTATAGCTATACAGTTACACAGTTTTGCATGGTTACTTACAACCCGGAAGTATGATAAAGAGTGATACTTGCTGAGTCCCCTGATCCTACATGTACCTCAAGGATCAGATTCAGTAAGCTACGATTCAGGCTTTGGAGACCTCCAGGGTTTAAGGTTTCGGGTTAGGGTTGAGGGGGGTTGTCAGATGTTGTTGGTACCCCTTATTGGGGTAATAGGCAGTCGAAACTACCTTTAGCTTTCTCAATATCCTCATTTACGAAATTCCCTCATCGCTAAAAGAAACCCTGAAACTGCTGAAGTACCGTATGCATAAACCCGACATAGCTTCATATAGGAGCCTCATTAATTAGAATAGGGTTCGGCTGTATTTTTTACCATAGTATCATAAGGACACCTACTCTGGGGTCGAAAGTCTACAAACCTACGTAGGGCGATTATTTGGAGTCTTAGGGAGCGGGGGGTAAGCAGGGTTACAAAAAATGGTTTAGGTTACCCTGAACCTCCGAGTAAGGACGGCTCTGTGGCTATTCTAATGTTGCATGCGTCCAAGCTTCGATGGCTCTGTTAGCCACGCCAGGCTCCAGCAGCAAAATCTGCCCTTTGGGGGTTTAGGGTTTAGGGGGCTTCGTGTTTTACAGGCTTCTGATTGGAGTTTTCCTGGGCTCTCTGCGGGATAGTAAGTAAATCTTTGACTTGGTGCCTGGAGTTTGGAGTCTATTTCCCGGCACACGGACGCAACTACTTTCAAAATTTGGGCCTCGCAACTCGAATCGCAAAACAGCAGCCCCCAGGATAAGCTGGAAATCATCAAGTCTGCAACACAAACCCCCAGCGGATCACGCATCCTCGCATAGGCTTTGTATGCTAGATTCCGTAATCCAGCCCCGGACCCTATAACGAAAACCTTACGCCCCGACCATGCAACCGTGAACGAGAAAACCTTCAACCCTAAACTCGAAACCCTTCGACTTCACCCATATAAAGTCCGCATAGAAACCTTGCAGACGGCCCGGAGCCCGGCTCAAAACCTTAATGTTTGTAAGAACTTTACGGAAACCGCATAAAACCAAAGCGGAACCCGTATAAAACCCCCTCACGGAAAACTGACGGAATCCTCAGTGAAAACATTTAAACCTCTATAAAATGCGAGAAGACGCTCTGCCCATGCTGTCGCTAAGGTTTGGCACAGACTTCAGCTTGTAGCAGGAAGCTCTATGGAGAGCGTTTTTTTTTCAGTGTCTACCTGCTGCCATTGTTCGGGTTCCTGGCTATAGCTTCATGAAGATATTCTCAAAAAGTACATCGTGGAGAGCTCACCAAGTACTTGTCTTGCAGAAGTCGACGACCCTCCAAAGGCCGACAAGGCTCCGCCCGGGCGGCAGACTCGGACCATTTCATCCAGCGCGGCGGCCGGGCGCTCCATGGCCTTGTAAGGAAATATAGGTGCACATGTAACATGAAAAAACAAATTCACGACGAAACTCCTGTTTCATGTTTAGGTTTAAAGATGGCTGAAAGTTTGACTCGTAGCTAGTTTAGGGCTTTCGGGTCTAGGGATGTGGATTCCAACCCGGCGCGAAATCAACATAACTTTGCAAAGACTCACCAAAGTATATCAATATTTCGTAAGGTAACCAACTATGCACATACATATGTGTATAAATATGTATGTATATGTATGTATATGTATGTATATGTATGTATATGTATGTATATGTATGTTTTTGTATGTATGTGTCTATGTCTATGTCTATGTACACCGATTTTGTTGTTTTCTGTATGCCATTGACCTCCACTTATTTGTGAGTGCTGGTGTCTGGTGTACAGGTCATCATATGGCTCTGCATGCACAGAGAGAGCGAGCGCGAGAGAGAGGGAGCGAGAGAAAGGAGGCATAATCCTTTCCTGTACAAGAGCGGGCCGACTGCACAGGGGCAACACAGTCGGCAATGACCGGGGACCGACCAACTCGCCAAAAGCCTTGCGAGTGAAGCACGGACTCAAGGGGAGCACACAAGGCGGGGTTGTACTGCGGCAACGTTGCTAACTTGCCGGGACTCAGGGGTCGGAGTTGTGACGCCAACATGCTCCCTGCGTCCACCAATTGTGTCGCACAGACCGGACGAGGACACAGGCATAGCGCAGCCCCCAACGCCGAGCGAGCAAGCAAGAGGAGGGACTGTCTCTAGCTCTAGCCCAGCAAAGAGACACAGAGAGAGAGAGAGAGAGAGATCCTTTTTCCATGTGACAGTGTTTTTTGATCGTTGCAGTTGGAAACCTGTGCTTTGCCAGCGAGCGCTTTCTTTCCTTAATGCATTTACCCCACACTGAATATTTTCATACAGCTTGGAGCTGTGGTCGGCCAGATTCCGTCATACTTGTGTTGTGCCTATATGATGCTTGCATCAAGGCAAGGGCGCCGCATTTGTCCGAGCAGGCTTTCAGAGTCCGGGGAATGGTTTGTTCGTATTTGGAGTTTTTGGGTGAGGCAAGCATGGCAGCAACTAGTCGTCCTCGGAGGGGCTGAATCCCATTTTCACCCCTGCCTGCGCGGGCCTTGGGCGCTGGAGGCTTCAGACGCCTCAGAGAGAGAGACAGAGATACGTTTCGGCCCGGGAGACCTGACAAGTCTCCTACGCCCGGAAGTGAAACGAAGTGAAAAGATACCTTGGCAATGTTTGTCTCAAGGAAGTCTTTCCTCCTACCCTTCTTCCTCGTGGCCCTCCCCGGTGATCTCCGCCATGAACCTGCCATCTCAAGCCTTCGCCAACCAAACTGGTCTCACTCCTGCCCAAGCTGCGGCCTTCGCCCCTCTCGTCGCCCAGGCAGGATCGTGCAAAGCCTCCTCAGAACATATCGGGGGCGCCTCAGCGTGGGAGTGGGGGTCGCTCCTCCACCTCCTACCATTGCGAAAGAAAGATACGAATGCACACACACATATATATATATATGTATACACAGTCACGCATACATGCATGGTTACATGTGCACGCATTCAGCATGAGCACATACACAGGTACACTGTCTTTTGCATTTGTGTATGGGTATGAAAATGCATGCCCCGCGTGCCTGCCCCGAATCACACATACATGCATATGTACTTCAAACTGAGGGTAGATGCTTCTACAATTGAGGAACTGTGGCGGGAAACAGGAGCGCCATTCTCCGGGGGCGGAAAGTGGCAGGAAGACGATGCGCCAAAATGTGCCCGGTTCTGCGGCGGGAGCACGGCTTCGAATTTCGTGAAATGATCCCTTCGAATACCTTCGAACCGAAGTTCAAGATCCTATCCTAGGCACCGCATGGTACGCGGCCAAGCCAGGATTTTTGCGACCCAGCGAGCGACTTGAAGGGCCAACTGCGCGCCGAACTGCGGTGGAGCAGGATATCCATTCAAATACACCCCGAAATACGCAGCTGGTGCCGATTCACCAAATGCTCGATCGCGATGTGCAAGACGCAGCCAGTGGGAACCCACCCCATGGTGTGACTACACTCTGTCGGAGTATGATCGTATCCTTCTTATTCATGTGTTTTCTGCCAATTGCGTTCCACATGAGTTTGCCAGTGGATATATGTAACAAGATACATAGCTTCGTCGAGCTCTTCCACATCATATATATATATATATACACACAAGTTGGAATGTTGTAGTGAATAGGTAGTAAACGATACGTACTTCAATGCTATGTTGTCGCGTAGTGTATATTGTCCGATATTTTGCTTGGTTCGGTGCACTCTACGAACGAACAGCTGAAACAGTTGCTGGCATTTAATGCGCAAAAGGATGCAAGCATACACGCACGCATGGTTCTGTGCCGCAGAGTGCTGGCCCCGTCCTCGGAGCCAAGGCACCGACGTGGAGTGCATGGACGATGCCCAGGTGCAGTACTGGTTCCGGGCCCGTCAGGCTCTCAGCGAATCCCGGACATCTGCACCAGGGTACATAAGCCGAGTGCAGATGCAACTGAGCCATAGAATTGTTGTTCCGGACACCGAGTTGCCATGCGCCGTCAGCAGGTGGTTTTCATGCATACCTTTTCGGTGCTCTTGGGCTGTCAGGCCCCCACCCCAGCCAGCGGCCACTCCGCTCGACCCCCAGCAGCAGCTCAAGCCCGACCCCAAGTTTACAGGGAGCATGCTGCAATAGAATTCTGTGATTGATTTGTGTGGCTCATACGGTTTCCGATCCATCTCGACAGCAGCTGCAGCAGCACAGACGTGTTCTCGGTTTAAGATGGCTGAGGTGTGCGATCCGTCTCCACAGAAGGGCAGACCACGTCCAGCGTTTCGTCCACAGGCTCGGATGCAATAAAGCTTTAGGCTTGTGTGGAGGTGCACGTAGATCGAATTGTTTTGAGCGTTCCGAAGACCCAACCTGGGGCGCACAGCTCATTTGCATGTTCAGGGCCTGGCAAGACGCCCGCTGTCCCAGGCAGCCGGAATGAAGAGTCATGACGGGATGTGGCGGGTAAGCCGGGAGTGTTCTGCACGAGATCCTGGAGTGTTGAGCTCTCCAGGCCTTCCCAAGCAGAAGCGTCTGATTCTCGACGAAAGGACGACAAGGATGCTTATTCTTGGCCACTCGCCTCCAGCCCGTCCAATCCGTTGTTCCCGAGAAAGGAGTGCCGGGCTGTTCCTGGCTCGGCAGCGCATCCAAACTCGGAGCAACCAGGGGCAGTCAATGACGCCGGAGGCGAAGAGCTATAAGTTTGCAGACAGCCAGACCTGGAGATCATGCATCAATCGAAGGACATTTGCAAAAGCATCCTCCAGTGCACTGTCAGCCAGGACTTCTGCTGCGACTTGCCAGTCTTGGCTTAGAGTCGTTGCGTGAGCCCGTCAGCCCCGCCACTAGCCTCCAGTGAGTTCTGCTAGGACGAGGATGGTTTGCAAAGTTTGCGTGATGCCGTCGAGAGCAACTTCGAGGTGCTGCCTTCTCCCTGTTTCCGTAGGGCTGCTCGAACACGGCGCTCGGACTAGTATCCTACAGAGACGTGTCCGTTTGGCGAGGCCGGCAATCCTGTGGCATCCTTCGTTGAGGCAGGAGTTTGCCCTTTGCTATGGCCCACGAGAGCTGAGCGGTCCTGGCAACGTTGCGAGGCTGAGGGCGTAGATGCCCTGTCGCGCTGCGAGGCTGAGCAAGAGCATCGCCTCATGCACCAGGCGGGCACTGGCTCAATCAAAATGGGATAGCATTTGTCAAATTAAAGACGGAGCAAACTAAGTCACCCATGCCTTGCTGGAGAGGTAGCGCCTAGAATCCGTAGAACCGCTATAGCCTTGCAATCTGGTGCCATGAGTGCTCAGTCTTCAGAGAAGCGCATCTTGTCTCAAGGAGTACACGATGAGGGGCACTTCCATGCAGTTTCAGCTGCGACGGGAAGCATAGGGGTTTGGTTTAGTTGGTACGGGTTCGATATTTTGAACATTCTCCTCCCTCCCTGACAGGTCTGCGGCATTCCAGGCGTAAGCCAGCGATTGAGATGCTATGGGCTTATGGTGTTTCACTGCTTTGAAGTCGATCTTCGCTCGCCTCCTGCAGACTCTCGAGTGGACCATGCAGTATATCCAGTAGGTCAGAGCGTGAGTCCTTTTGCCGCTTCTGTCAGCGAGGTCTTCAGATCGAGTCATCTTGGGATCGCGACGCTGCGAAGTGTCAGAAACATCTGGAGGCCAGGAGGCAAGCGATATCTCACCTCCGGAAGCTTCTGAAACCGCCAGGTCCTGCAGTCTGGACTCGAGGCCGTTTTGCCTGCCGATCGCTCTCGAAGCTCGGTGCCCAAGCACGTTGCCTCGAAGGCCCTTAGCACAAGGAAGGAGGCACTCCAGTCCTTCTTCCGTCAGGCCGTTGGCACATTTTCACTTGATGCCAGGTGTGCCCTTCTACATGGTTTGTAGCGGAGCATGCGCCAGGTCATGAAGATTGGCAATCAGCTAAATGAGGCGTGCGGTTGTGTGTCAAATTTGACGTGCTGGCTGGATTTGCCCTGCTCTACCGCTGCCACTGCTAGAACATCACTGGCCGCATTCCAGGCCGCTGGAGGAGTACACGCTTCTCATGGCTTTCGCTTACAGAGCCTCGATTCTACGCTGCAGACGAGGCCATCGCCGAGACATGAAGCTTTCGAAGAGGGGTGACTGTGGGGATTGGCTTAACCTTCTGCAGGTCGCCCTTGCGACCTCAGCTCTCCCTTCTACACCTCGCGCTGGCGCAGATGCCCTTGAGACAGGCCAGGCTGCCACGGTTCATTGCGGGGGCAGTTGGAGTAGCCCTTGTAGCCCTTATACCCCTGATCGTGCCTATCGGAAAATTTCACCGAAAGCGGAAACCCGACCGCAGGTCAATTCATTGTGCGAGGGCCTGCAGGCCACCGATGCATTGAGATCACAAGGACTGCTTGGTCTGGCTCTTAGAAAACCTCAGCGAAGATATGTTCGAGACAAGAAAGGCACGGCGAGAGGAATGGACAGCAAGAATCGCGAAGGAAAGTGATCAGTTGGGGCACTTTTTGCAATTCTTTGGTCAACTCAGAACCTCATAGAGCCTCCCAACCTCCATTCACGCATCTAAGGCAAGAGCGCTGGGGTTCAGGAGCGGTGCCGGGAACTTATCACCCAGCGGGCTGCGCTTCGCGAGCTCGGTGCGCAGGCGCTGCGGGAGGTTTCAACCTGTCATCTTGTCGGCTTCCTTAGAGAATATAGTATATACCTACAAACTCACTCTTCACAGTCACAGCATCACGAGCATACTGGGGCACTACGAAATGCCAATGCTGTATCGGAGTCCGTCTGGCAGGTGCCCAGCGCTCTCTCTGAGGACACTCCGTCCTGTGTAAGTCAACTTGATGATGTCTTGTCGTTCATGAAGTTTCGCCATTGGCGTGCAGGACGACGTCTTCCAGGACATTCCGAATCATTCTACCTGTAACTAGGCCATGTCTATCTGTGACCTCGGCAGCAGGTCTCTCATAAACTCTTTCCTCAAGCCGCGTTGCACAGTAATGATCAGAATGTTCCTTCTCGAACGTGTCACAGGGTTTCGAGATGACACCTTCACCAGGAGCACTTGAAAGAGTTCCTGGACAGCCGTCGGGACCAGGCGCACAATGTACTTCGGCATGTGTGCTGCAACACTGCAACAGCCTGAGGGCCGCCCCGTCTCCGTCCGTGTTAAATACTTTTCTTTTCGTGCAGGCCTCTCGCTTGGCGGAGCTGTGTCTGGAAGTCTTCCGAAGCTACTGGGCATGCGGCTCAGCTTTTCGAGGCAAATCGCAACATTGGTGGCAACGGACCGATCATCAGAGCAGACATGATTTTCGGGTCGCTGCAAGGAGCTCGCAGTCTTTCTCGGAGATCCAGCCCCGCGCTTGGATTCGGCTGGCCCTCCTCAGTAGTTCATGCCGTGGCGATGCCAGGATGCCGTGTTCCCACCACCTTCGAAGGACTCTGATGAATCACAGGACCTTTGGGTACTCCCATAGACTAGAATGTGTGCCAGCTGTCACCCTTCAGATGGTCATGCGGTCATGTTCTCCGAAAATAGAGACGAGAGGACATCTTCCTGTTCTTCCACGGCTTTATCGAGGCCGGTATGGCATGCAGTTGTACCCGCCATCCACAAAGCTTTGACGAGGGAGACCATGGCACAATCACACCATCCCAGCTTCGACCATGTTCTGAGTCACATGTTTAGCTCCTTCTCCACGAAACAGCGGGACAGCGTGGGACAGCTGCAGGTGCTGGAGAGGGGGCGCGTGGAGATCGCAAGGATGCGGATGCGCGAGGCAGGGCCAAGGGCTGCTGGCGGCCTGCATTCTCAAGATCCCGCTCTCCCGGCCGTGTGAGGAGATCGAGGCTTCTCGTGAGGGTGGACAGGAGGCACACAGGGCACAGGGACGGCAGACAGGGAGAAATCTTCGCTCTTCGCAGCAGCAGTGCCGAGGCCGCCGCGCGAGTGGCGGAGACGGCGGCGCTCGAGCGGCTTGGAAGAAAGAACCGCCTAGGCACGGCCCGAGATCCATCCCACGAGCTTGAGCCGAGGTCTGGGCTGCCAGCGAGTCAGCCGTCTCAGTCTGCGTCTGCTGTGAGCAGCCCTGCATGTTCACGCAAGATGCATGAGGCATGGTGCGGCGAACGCTGCCTTTGCCCGAGCGGGAGACCAAAGCGGATGTGGGATGCCAAGGAATTCCAAGAAAGTTTTGTAAATCCGGTCCTTGTCCTGCATTCGCTGTTTCGTCCGAGATTGCATTGCAGACATCCCGCGTCCCCTGCAAGTGCCGGCATGAGAGCGTGTTTCACGTGTGCTCCTGCCGAGTCCGTGTTAATGACTCCTCCAACATCGCCCTCCCGCGTTGGACCCTCAAAGGGTTAGCGTGTTGTCCAGGGAGTGAAGGGCCGAATTCGGAGTATCACGTGCCCTCAGTCTCCTTTGATCCAGGGAGTGCGACATGTCGCCTCGCCATGCAGAGCGCTGAAGGCCGTGGCAGTGTCAGGAGGACTAACCGGAAATTCTGAACTTCTGAACGTTGCAGAGCAGGAAGCTTGCAGTGTTTTTGGCGGACCCTGCTTCTGGATGAGCCATGTCAGGGTGTGTCGCCCAAAACGGCTTCTGCCCGAGCGGTACACAGGTGGGCTACCGTACTTGCTTTCGCGTCACAGGGCATCCCCTGCTCGCAGTATCTGACGACCTACTTTCCTCTCATGCCCCGGAAGCACTTTCCCGCAAGGCTGAAGAAGCTCAGCTGCAGTCCGGAGGCGCCTGAGCTTGAGGCCGAGTTCTCTTTGCCCGGAGTTACAGCGACCGTCCAGGCAGACGCGCAGTCTGACGTGTCGGACTGGGAGCCGTGGGCTAAAGAACTGGGCCTCGGCTTCCTTTTGGGCCCTCAGAGACACCGAGGCCGTCCCCGAACGAAAAGCCGAAGCCGGAGCCGGAGCCGAGCCAAGGCAGCCTCGAAGCTTCGCACGTGTCCGCAGCGCCTTTTGGTTTTCTTCTCCAGGCTGTGTGGTGCCGAGACGGCGGCGGGTGCTCCCTGAGCGGCCGCTGCACAGACCCGAGAGCAAGCAGTACTTGTGACTCCAATCGACGCCAAGCTGCGGGCTTCTCTGAACCTTGCATCGAATTTTTGTCTCAGGCCTTCAACACCTTCTTCCAGCTCACGCGCTTCCCACGCCTCCCCATCGGCGAGTTCGCGGGTCTCGAGCCCTCGGATGGATGCGCCTTGCCGAGTTGATTTGGAGTGGTCAAGGGCGCTCTGGCGAGTTTAAGAGCGTGGTCTGTTTAGCCGTCTGTCTCTGTCTGTGTGTGTCTGTCTGCGCACATGCACAAAGGTATGCTAGCACATGCATAAGCAAGTCGGGAGGTGTTATGTCAGACCGTTGGAATTCCACACCAGGGCCACACCACTCCAAAACTAGGGAACGGCGCTGACTGATTATAAGCCACGGCAAAGAGCCCGACATTCAGAATAGTGCGGTCCAGGACTGCAGACATGAGCTGTTTCACGACACTACCCTGAAATCGAAGACCTCGCATGCTGGTGGGAAAGAACAACCGGAGAAGCTGCACTGAGTGTTCTCCCAACGTTTTGAGTTCCCGTCCCCAGTGGCGGGCTTTGGCGCCTCACAATGCCAGGAGCCAAAGCCCTTTTTTCTGAGCTCTGCACGTGAACACCCCACAGTGTCGCCATGCTGTTCGGGGAATTTCGTATATACGCACACGTGTTCGCTTGTACATGTTTGTAGTTAGGCAGGCAGTAGGGAGGCTACTTCCCTAGCTCCCTCTTTCTACCTGCATGCATGCATGCATGC